TTTTAATGGTGTCCTTTGATGCACAAAAGTATTTAATTTTGATAAAGTCAAATTTATCTACCTTTTCTTTTGTCATTTGTGCTTGTGGTGTGTATCTAAGGAGGTTTTTTGCCAAGGTAACAAGGACTTACACCTATGTTTTCTTCTGAGAGTTTTGTTTTAATCTTTATATTTAGGTGGTTGAAGTCCTAATCATACCGAATGTGACTATTTTTGAAGATAGGGTCTTGAAAGAGATAATTAAATTAAAATGATGTCCTTAGGGCGCATCTGGCTGGCTCAGTTAGAGAAGCATGTGACTCTTAATCTCGGGTTTGTGAGTTTGAGTCCCACATTGGGTGTAGAGATTACTGATAAGTAAGTAAGTAAATAAATAATTTAAGAAATATGGTCATTAGGGTGGGCTCTACTTTACTATGACTGTGGTATCCTTAGTTCAGACACTCACACTGCAGAGTAGCTGCCTATTCTTTTTTTAAGATTATTTATTTATTTTAGAGAGATTGAAAAGAGAGAGAGAGAAGGGGCTGAGCAGAGAGCCTGATGCAGGGCTTGATCAGGGCCTGAGCCAAAACCAAGAGTCGGACACATAACCTACTGAGCCACCCAGGCACCCCTGGCTGCTTATTTTTTAAAATCCATTTTATTTGCGATATAGTCACAGTCACTTCTTTGTGTGTGTGTGTGTGTGTGTGTGTGTGTGTGTGTGTGTGTGTGTATATATATATATATATAGAGAGAGAGAGAGAGAGAGGCTTTTGTGCTTCAATAGCAGAGTTGAATATTAGACCTGCAAACCCCAAATATTTGCTATCTGATGCTTTAGAAAAAAATGTGCTGACCCCTGCTTTAGGAAATACTTCGGATGGGCTTATGTGCATATTATTCTTTGAGTTCTTGGATTTTAAAAAGAGGATTTTTTTTTCTATAGAGTTTAATGCCTGAAAAGCAGCATGGATGGGTGGGTACAAAATCCTTAGCTTGCATCTTCTTTGCTCAAGTTTTTCAAAAATGCTGCATCACTATTGCCTTGCTTTGCTCTTGAGAAGTCTGATGCCAGATATTTTCTTTCCCAGATTCCATAACAAACTATTTAGCTTGAAAAGTAATGGCTTAAAGTGAGAACTATTTTGGATATAATTTCACAATCTTTAGGGCCAGGAATTTGGGTGGGGTTTGGCTGGATTTTTCTTCTGTTCTACATAGCTTTGACTGGGGTCACTGTGTGGTACCCCAGCTGATGGCTGATCTGATATAGAGTGTTCGTGATGACTTCACTCACATCAGCTAGAGTCAGCAAGTCTCTCTCCCTCTCTATGCCATCTCAGAGTCTCTCCACAGGGAGTTAGATTTTTAAAAAATATTTATTTATTTTAGAGAGAGAGAGACAGCAGGAGTGGGAGGAGGAGAGGAAGAAGGAGAGAGAATCTCTTCATGCTGGAGTCCAAGAAGACTCCCCCTCTGAGCACAGAGCTGGAACAAGGCTCCATCCCAGGACCCTGAGATCATAACCTGAGCCGAAACCAAGAGTCAGATGCTTAACCAACTGTGCCACCCAGGTACCCAGGGGAGTTAGATATTTCATATTGTGCCTCAGGGCTTCAAGAGCAAGTGTGCTCAAAGACCCAGTGGATTCTTCAAGACTTCTTATGACCTAGGCTTAGAAGTCCTGTATACTGGGGATCCCTGGGTGGCTCAGCAGTTTAGTGCCTGCCTTTGGCCCAGAGCGAGATCCTGGAGTCCCAGGATTGAGTCCCACGTTCAGCTTCCTGCATGGAGCCTGCTTCTTTCTCCTTCTGCCTCTCTCTCTCTGTCTCTCATGAATAAATAAATAAAATCTTAAAAAAAAAAAGTCCTGTATACATCACACATTCTGTTGGTCAAGCAATTCTCTTGGGCCAGCCTGGATCAAAAGAAGGGACACAGAATTTGCAGACATCTTTAATGTACTGCAGCCTTAGTACATTAAGTAATTTGAACTTTTTGCATGGTGGCTTTGAAAACTATTATTTTTGTCTAATAGTTTTAAGAGGCTAGCTCTTAGAATCAATCACTCTGATGGTTTTCCCCAAGTACAAGGGGCACTCTCATTATGTAGGTCTACATTTTTTTATTTCAAGAAAATTTCATTATTTGTGGAACTTCAGCTATACCTACGTTAGACATTCTTTGCTTGTACGCAAATGACATTCCAAACGGAGAGAGAAATAAGCACAAAGGTCTGCAGGCAAGGGAAAGGAGGAACATTCCAGGAGTTTGGATAGGATTTGTTTAGGAAGTGACAGAGAGGAAGTGGGGGAGATAGACAAAGGATAGATGAATGGATGGTTTTGCGTGCCATGCTGAGCAGTGACATATGCAGGCAGCATATTCTGGGAAGTGTTTTCTGACATGCAGTATAGAATATGGAATGAAAGGAACAAGACCACAGGAGAGGGACAGGATCAAAGCTATTACGTTAGTCTAGGTGAGAGGCTTAGCCATGAGGGACAGATTCTAGAGTTCTTAATGAGGAGAATCAACACGATTGTTGAGTGTGGTGGGGATGGGAAGGGAGGAATCCAGGATGACTCTCAGGTTTCTGAACTGGGCAACTGAGTGGACAGTAACGCAGAACAGTTTTAGACACATAGGGCTTGGGGTGGCTGGAGGACATCTAGGGGAAGAGGTCCAGAAGGTGTTTGTCTGTGGAACACAGATGAGTGGTCTGAGCCAGTAATGCATTTGAGAGTTGCTGGTATATGTGACGGATGAAGACAAGGAGGGGGTGGAATGGCTTCAGGAGATTGTGTAGGGTGAACCGAACACTGAGAACAGAACTTGGGAGACTCAGGAGTGGTCAGCAGGGTGAGGAGGTGAGTCATGTCATGAAGGCCAAGGGAGTTTCCACAAGAGTGGAGTGCTTTGTGTCGCCAAGTGCCACCAAGAGCCCAGTGATATGAGGACTCAGATACAGCCTGTGACATTTGGGATTCAGCAAGCCCTTAACGATGGATTGGTGCAGGGATGTGGTGGGGACAGAAGTTACATTGCGTGGGTTGACGAGGGAGAAGCTGCTGAGTTGGCAGAGATGAGTGCAAACTACTTTCAAGACATTTGTGAAGGGAAATAGAGAAAGGGAGCAAGCAGTAACTAGAACACAATGCAGAGGGACTGAGGGGTTTCTTGTTCTGAGGACAGGAAAAGCCTGACTATGGCAGATGGTGATGGAAAAGGTAAGAGGGTTTGATAATTTTGAGAGCTCGAGGTGGGGGGCCACGATTGAAATATGTCTGAAAGGAGTTTTCTGAGGATGTGGGAGGTAATGAGGTATGTATGATGCTCATGGAAGTGAACTTAATTCCCAGAATGGTTTATTATAGTCCAGCTCTGGTACTGAAATTACCTTGGTTTCAATCAATACGGCAAATATAGCAAACAATATCGACATATTTATTTTACATCATTTACACATCTTTTCTCCAAAGGGTAGGATCAATGTTTTACCCTTTCAAAGCCTCCCACATAGTTGGTGCTCAGTAAGTGGTAAATGAATAAACAAGATGTCTCTTGCCTGTATTCTGAGTATCTCAGCATATTCAGAACACAGTCAAGACCCTGCACACAAGTGAAAAAGCTTGAAAAAGCTTGCATGCTTAGAAGCACGCAAGAGTCCTAAAATCCATGTGTCAAAGTTGATGTCCTTTCCTTGAGGAACCTGTTTACCCTCACTTATTTCCTTCACCCTGGGAGTTTAAAAATAGGAAAATGAGAGGAGGAGGAAGAGGATGTTCTAAAGGCAGGCAGGCAGGCAGACAGCAGCAGGAGGTGGCACGATCTGCCTTACCATAAGGTGCCAAAAAGCAGTGAAAACCCAGGCGCAAAGCATCCCGGCTTGGGGGCTCTTTGCTTAGGGACTTAACATCCCGCACTCACAGAGCAATTACCCTTAAAGGACACTGCTGATTTGAGCCGTAAGCAACTGTGAGAAAAATGATCCTCTGAACTATCGAGAAAAAGCTTAGCTGTTCTTATTTCGAATCATCTCCTACATTTCACACACTTTGGAAAGCATTCTGTCAAAAATGAATAACATTAAAACAAAAAAGCTGATGTCGAGATGGTAAATCTGGGTCCGGCTCAGCTCCCTCGCCCGAGCTGTTTACCTAGCCTTCCTTGGACGCCCTTCTTTTTTTTTTTTTTTTCCTCCTCGGACGTGTTTCTTTCTCTTCCTTCCAGTCGGGACACAAATGCCACCTATTCCAGGAACCCCCTCCACTTGGTCCAAGCGGAAGTAATCTCTTCCTCCTCTGCCCTGCCACAGCATCTCCTTGCGGGCTTGGCTTTGCCTGGGTCACCAGCCCCGCTTGTTTACACGGCTGCTTTCGTACGAAATCATGCGCACCTCGAGACCAGGGGCCGTGACCGCGACGGCGAACCTGCGCGGCACCTGGGAGCGAGCAGAGCGCGGAGCCGGCGCTCACCAGACGCTCGCGGGGCTGAACTTCATTTGGGAAGATCCCTCAGGGCAAGACCTCCTGCCGGAGGCGCGGATGAATGATTCATGGGGCGGTTCTTTGCATTCTTCACCTCCGAGTCACGGCGCGCAGAGTGTCCAGCCGCCCCGGCACATACCTGTGGAATCGAAACGCACCTCCGCCGCCAGCGCGCGGGGCCAGCCGGAAGGGGGCGGGTTTCACCCCTCCGCGTCCGCCAGTCGGGGGGAGGGGAGGGAGGGGGGAGCCGGGTCCCGCTCGGCCGCAGGGGGCGGGGCTCGGAGGGAGCTCGGCCCGCTCGCCCGCCCCCTCCTCTGCGAGGCGGAAGCCCCGCCCCCGGCCGCGCGCTCGCACGGGCGGCGCGCGCCCGCCCCGCGCCCCGCCCCCGAGCCCCCGAGCCCCCGAGCCCCCGCGCCCCCCGCTCCCGCGTCTCCGCCCCCGCGTCTCCGCCCCCGCGCCCCCGCGCCCCGCGCCCCCGCGCCTCGCGCCCCCGCGCCCCCGCGCCCTCGCGCCCTCGCGCCGGGGGCGGGCTCGCTGCGCGTGCCGGGCGGGGAGACGGCGCGAGCCGGGCGCCTGAGAACGTCCGCCGCGGGGGCGGCTCCGGGGCCTGAGCGGGCTCCGCCGCCACCTCGGCCGCCGGGCCCGGGCCGCAGGAGGCGCAGGAGGCTGCGGCCGCCCGAGACCTTCGCGGCGTCCCCAGCTCCGGCCGGGAAGTGAGTGCGGCGGGGGCTCGCGGCGGCCGCGGGCTGCGGGAGGGCGGCGGGGTGGGCTGGAGCCTCGCGCCCGCGAGGAGCGGGAAGGAGCCTCCGGGCGGCGGGGGACGGACGGGGCTCGGGGAGCCGGGGCCGCTGCACCGCGAGCGCAGAGTCCGGGGCCGGCGCGGCTGGGCTCGGAGCCCCGGGCCGGGGAGGAGTCCCCGGGGTCCCCGGGGTCCCGAGCGCACCGTGGCCGCGGGGCGCGGGGCCGGGCTGCGGGCGCCGGGCTGATGCTGCTGGAGGAGGAGGCTGTGTTAGGTGCTGTGAGGGGCGAAGGAGGCAGGTCCTGGCAGAGGGCAGGTGAGGCAGTTAGGCCCTGGCAGCGGGAAGGGACTCTATCCCAGCTCGCCCCCAAGCACTGCTTGCGGAGGCGCCTAACCGTGCTGAACCCGTGCACCGAGGTCACCCTCGAAGAGAAGGTGTCCTGCGAGCAGGCGGGGTGGAGGTAACAGATGCCTGCTGTTGAATTCCTGTGCCAGGCCTTGGGATTAGGAAGACCTTCCAGCGCTCCTGGCCAACGTTTATCGATTAGCTGCCTGGGGTAGAGAACCGTGGTCAGCAGCTGGGGCGACGAAATAGTGTAAAACAGCCGTAATCTGCCGCGTAGGTAGGTGCTGACAGTTTGGTAGCGAAGGTGTGTGCATGTAGAATACAAAGTAGCATTGAATTTCGTCTCACACTTTATTCACTTTAGGTCTTTTTTTGGGTCTTTTCCCAGTGTTGGGAAATTGGAGCTATAAATTGCTTGGTTTGGAGATAGAGCCGAAGAGTCAGAGGAGCTTGTGGGGGAAATTTGAGAGACTTTGAAGGCAGTTCTGCCCAACATTTAAAGGGGGGAGAAGGGAAGAAGAAATTTGGAAAGAGAAAAGTTACCTTCCTTCCCTCCTAAAAATAAAAAAAAAAAGTTTTTTTATTGGAGTTCAGTTCTCCTAAAATTAAGCTCCATGACTATAGCTGCTAAATCCTCAATGACAAAAACAGTGCCTGGACCACAGCAGTCAGGTAAAAATATTTATTGCGTGAACAAGGCTTTGCTGTGTTTTACACGGAGCAGTATTAAATACTTCGATGTTAAGAATGGCTGATGGGCTTCCCGAGATTCTTATTCTTTTCTTTTTCTTTTTCTTTTCTTTTCTTTTCCTCCTTTTTTCTTTTCCCCTTTCTCTCTTCCTCTTCTTCTTCTTCTTTTTTTTTTCTTTTTTAATATTTTGGTCACATAAGGTAACCCAGGTTTCTAGGTCTGGGTATTTATTTTTTATTTTTATTTATTTTAATTTTAATTTTTATTTCTTTTTAATTTTTTTTATTGAAGTTCAGTTTGCCAACATATAGCATAACACCCAGTGCTCATCCCATCAAGTGCCCCCCTCAGTGCCCATCACCTAGTCGCCACATCTCCTCACCCACCTCCCCTTCCACTACCCCTTGTTCTTTTCCCAGAGTTAGGGGTCTCTCATGTTCTGTCACCCTCTCTGATACTTCCCACTTGTTTTCTCACCTTTCCCCTTTAATCCCTTTCACTATTTTTTATATTCCCCAAATGAATGAGACATATAATGTTTGTCCTTCTCTGACTGACTTACTTCACTCAGCATAATACCCTCCAGCTCCATCCACGTTGAAGCAAATGGTGGGTATTTGTCGTTTTTGATGGCTGAGTAATATTCCAGTTATATATTAGGTCTGGGGATTTAAAGCAGTGGCTGAGGAGTGGTGATTTCTTGTGGCCACCCTGCCACTTTCACATCTTTATTCCATGTTGGCCAGCAGGAGCTTAGTCCTTGGGTCATTCATTCCTTCTAGTCATCCAATTCTGGCCCTCCTCTTTTCTGTCACTTGAGGAAGAAGAGCACTTTTGTCTAGGGAACATTTTTTACACTTTTATCCTGGTTTTTGGATCTAAGAGAATGTGCCCCTGCTCTTCTGTGAGGACTGCAGTTCTACTTATTCTCTGCCGCAGTTGGATTTCTGGGCTCTCCAGCTCCCAGCTGTTGTTTCAGTGCCCGGGGTTGCAGTGCCTGTTGGGTTACTTTGTCTGCCAAACTAAAACTTGACCTTTTATGAGTTCTGTGAGGATTTTTATCATACATAAGTGGAATTACCTTTGGAGAGGGTTATATAGTTAAAGTTGTGCTGGCGGGGTTTTTGAGCGTCCACTATGCATGGGAGACAAACTTTCTACTTAGAAAATTAGACTTAGAACCAACAGAATGCCAAGTTGCCTTTTATTTTATGGCTTTAATAAAAATCTTCTAGGGCCTTTGCTTGCACGTATAAAAAATAAGCGTAATACCAATCCAAACTTGGTCTTGTGCTGAAAGCCTTGAAGAACTAGGTTCATTTCTTTTTAGTTTTAGGACTGTGCACTTCAGAATGCAACCAGCAGGAGTCCATCAGTTCTTGTTTCGGGGTACCCTAGCCTGTAATTTTGGGTGCCTTAGTCCAGGTCCTCCCAGTGATGTGGTATTTTATCAGTATATTTATGTTTCTTTTAAAATCAGTTTTATGGATGTGTAGTTGACATATAATAAAATGCACAAATATCTGTGTACAGTTGGGTGTGTTCTGAAAAATGTATATACTTTGTAACCACTACCCCAATCAGGATATAGATATTTACATCATCCCAGAAAATGCCCTCATGCTGGTTTATAGTCCACCCTCTCTCATTTTATTTACTTCTAGTTACACAAGCATCAGGGCTGTGGTGTCTGGTTATGCAGGATGTGTATCACCTGCCTTTAGAGGTGTTCCATTCATAGCGGAATCCCTGTAAATGTACCTCCTGGGCTTGTCTCATGCACAGTCTGTGGGGCTCTGTACTGCAGCTCTGTGAAGGGCTCATGAACACACACTTTCTTATAAAATACTCAAAATACAGACAGACAGAATAAACCTCCCTTAGCCCACTCTCTTTTCTTCTGAAATGGCAGTTACCAGTTTGTTACTATCCTTCCAAATCTTTTTTTTTTTTTTTTTAAGATTTTATTTATTCATGAGAGAGAGGGAGAGGCAGAGACACAGGCAGAGGGAGAAGCAGGGAGCCTGACGTGGGACTTGATCCCGGGTCTCCAGGATCACACCCCGGGCTGAAGGCGGAACTAAACCGCTGAGCTACCGGGGCTGCCCTATCCTTCCAAATCTTTGCATTGTCTTCTATATATAGGTAATATAGAAAAAAAGCTAATTTCTCTCCACTCTTAAATTACTGACATGATACTATACATTGTTACTGTTGCTGTTGTTTCCTAACAAAATCCCTGAGATCTTTCTGTGTTGGAACATTGGTATCTACCTGATTTTTCTTGACTACTACATGAAGTCTTATGTGATATGTGTGTTGTACTGTTGTTTATTTAATCGTCTCCTCATTAAAGGCCATTTAAGCTCTTTGCTGTTTCGGACACTGCTGCAGTGAATGAAAGAAGTAGAATTGCAAAGAGGATGCACATTTTAAATTTTAATTCAGGGGGATTTAACCATGGAACTTGTGGATCTGGTTCATTTTTTTTAAACTACTAGGTAATGTGCAATTGTAGACTTAAATCACCTTTTTCATTCTTCATTCACTGAGGGACAGACAGTTGTGTTACTTTGGATACTAAATCTTTGTTGGATCTATGTGTTGCAAATGCATCTTGCTAGTCTGAGGCTTGCCTTTCCCCTTGGTTGGCAGTGTCTTTGTTTGTATGCAAGTTTAAAATTTTAATGTTATATTTATGAAAAAATTTCCCTTAAATTAGAAAGAAAAGGTTGTGTATGTCTTTTTTTTTTTTTTAAGATTTATTTATTTGAGAGAGAGAGAGAGAGTGAGCATGAGCAGGGGGAAGGGCAAAGGGAGAGGGACAAGCAGGCTCCCTGCTGAGTGGGGAGCCCAATGTTGGGCTCAGTCCCAGAACCCTGAGATCATGACCTGAGCTGAAGTCAGACTGACTGAGCCACCCAGGCACCCCTGTATGTGTCTGGTTTAAGTAAATTTTTTCTACCCCAGGATGCGAATTATATATTTCTGTATTTTCATCTAAAATTTAAAAAGGGGCCTGACATGCTCTCAGAAGAGCATGTGGGGTTGTGATCTGGGGTTGTGAATTCGAGCCTCACATTGGGTGTAGAGATGACTTAAATAAGTAAAACTTAAAAAAAAAAAAACCTAAATTAAAAAGTTTTGCTTTCCATGTGGAATTTCTCTGTGGTAGAAGGAAGAGAGCCTTTTTTCCCTCCAATTTGGATATCTAGTTTTTCTGCTTTTTTAAAATTGTAAAATATACATGGCATACAATTTACCAAGTATACATTTGTGGCATGAGGTACATTCACATGGTTGTGTAACCATTAACCATTGTCCATCTCTAGAACTTTTTCATTTTCCCCACCGGAAACTCGGTACCCACCAAACACCTCCCTTCAGCCCCTGGCAACCACCATTCTACTATCTCTATGACTTTGACTACTCCAGAGACCTCAAGTAAGTGGAATAACATAATATTTGTCCTTTTGCCTGGCTTATTTCATGTAGCATAGTGTCTTAGGAGTTCATTTATATTGTAGCATGTATCAGGATTTCCTTCCTTTTTAAGGTGAAATACTCTTCCATTGTATGTACATACACATTTGTTTATTCATCCATCAGTGGACATTTGGATTGTTTCTACCTTTTGGCTATTGTAAATAATGCTGTTATGAACATGGGTGTTCAAATATTTGTTCAGGTCCCTATTTCAAGCTTTTTTTGTGTATATACCCAGAAGTGGAACTGTCTGTGATATTTTTAAAAAATTATATACATAACTGAATATGACCAAAATGGGTAGATGGTAGAGTATATGTCCCTTCTCTGTATATGATTTCTCCTGTTATTAATATCTTGTTTTAGTGTGGTACGTGTGTTATAACTGATGAATCAATGTTGATAAGTTATTATTAATTTAAGCTCATAGTATATATTAGGCTTCTCATTGTGTCCTTTGTGTTTTTGACAAATGCAAAATGTCATGCATCATTAATGTCAGTACATGAATTTCGTGTAATGTCATTGCACTATCATCAGAATAATTTTATTGCTCTAAAAATCCCGAGTTCCATCTATTCATTCCTTCTTCCCTCCTCCTGAGCTCCTGATAACTACTGATTATTTTACTGTGTCTATAGTTTTGCCTTTTTGAGAATATCATGCAATTAGAAATCATACAGTAAGTATTGTGGTCTTTCAGACTGTTCTCTTTCACATAGCAATGTGCATGTAAGTTTCCGCTATGTCTTTTCTTGTCTCTATAGCTCCTTGCTTTTCTTTCTCTTTCTCTTTCATTGAAATTCTAGCCAACATACAGCTCAATGTTGGTTTCAGGACTATAGTTTAGTGGTCCATCACTTACATACAACACCTAGTGTTCCTCATGACAGGTGCTGTTTTTAATACCCATCACCCCTCTTTCCCATCCCCGACCCACCTTTCTCCATTAACCCTCAGTTTGTTCTCTGTGATCAAGAGTATCTCATGATTAAAAAAAAAAAAAGTATCTCATGATTTGTTTCCTTTTCTCTCTTTTTTCCCCTTTCAGTATGTTCATCAATTTTGTTTTTTAAATTCCACATGAATGAAATCATATGGTACTTGTCTTTCTCTGACTTATTTTGCTTATTGTGTTACACTGTAGCTGCATCTGTGTTATTGCAAACAGCAAGATTTCATTCTTTTTGATGGCTGAGTAGTATTCTATTGTATATATGTACCATATCTTCTTTATCCATTCATCAGTTTTTGGGCATTTGGGCTCTTTCCACAGTTTGGCTATTGTTGATAATGTTGCTGTAAACATTGAGGAAACTTATTTTTTTTTTATCGTTAAATAACATTCCATTGTATGAAAGTACCAGTTTGTTTATCCATTCACCTATTGAAGGACATCTTGTTTACTTCCAGTTTGGGGCAATTATGAGTAAAATGCCTAAATATTTATGTTCAGGTTTTTGTTTGGACACAGGTTTTCATATCTTTCCAGTAAATACATAGGAGCATTTTTGCTGGATCTCATGGTAAGAGTGTTTAGCTTTAAAAGAAACTGCCTAAGTGCCTTCTGAATGTGGCTGTACAATTTTGCATTCCCAATAATTAAAAAAAATTTATATCCTAGCACCCTAAATGTACTTAAAAAATAAGCCTTTGTCAGACTGTTCTCTAAAATTAAACTTCATCTGGAATGAATTCATATTCTAATTGTTGCTTTTGTTGGCTATCTTTCTTAGCATTATATTTCTTTATGTCTTTTGAAGTTTTGATTTATAGACTCATTGAGTATGAGTGCTTTTTATTCTGTTTTCCTTATTTCTGTGCTCACCCTTCTCTGTGTGGTGATATTTCAGGTGCTCCCATTGACTTTTTGAACCATAGTCAAGAAATCAGGTATAATAATGATGGGTCGGGGGTCCTACCCTTTGAGATAATTGGGGCTATTTTAGATCCATTCACAGAATATGGGAATGTCTTGGTTCAGTTCCTGGTCACGAGGATGTTTTTATCTTCCCATTTTTCTAGGCCTAGAGCATTATATAAACTGTATCTCTAGGCAGAGACTGGCAGCAGTATTTTGTAGCTTCCTTTCAGCTCCAGGCCTCATCCTTGGCTTTAAGCAGTGAGGCTGGCTCAGATGTTTCTCCTCCTTTACTTTGTGTCACTGTTGCCCTTGAAGAAGGTATATACCTGCTTCTGGGCTCGGGGTCCAGCAAGCCTGTAGTTTCAGTCCTGCTTATAGTTTTGTGTATCTGTTTGGTTTCTGATCCAAATGGAATTTTACCTTGTTTTTGAGCCTGCTTAAATCATTAACAATTTTTTATTTTTAAATTATCTCTATACCCAACGTGGGGCTGAAACTAAAAACCCTGAGGTCAAGGGTTACATGCACTACTGACCGAGCCAGAGAGGTGCCCCATGTCATTTAAAAATATATTTAAAAATAGTTTATCTATTGATGTGTATTTGGAATAGAGGGGATGCACTAAAGTGTTTACTTACCAGGCTACTTTGATTAGAAGACCTAATTGACCAGGTGTCTTTCTAATCTTCATACCACTTACTTTGTTTGCATAATTGCAATGCCTAGACTCTCCAATACAAATGTTGAATAGCAGTGATGATAATGGGCATTTTTATCTTTTTCCTAAATGAGAATGCTTCAAGTGTTTCACTATTAAATATGATACTTACTGAAGGTTTCTTTTTTTTTTTAATTTTTATTTATTTATGATAGTCACACAGAGAGAGAGAGAGAGAGGCAGAGACACAGGTGGAGGGAGAAGCAGGCTCCATGCACCGGGAGCCCGACGTGGGATTCGATCCCGGGTCTCCAGGATCGCGCCCTGGGCCAAAGGCAGGCGCCAAACCGCTGCGCCACCCAGGGATCCCCTTACTGAAGGTTTCTGATAGATTTTTTTTGTCACTTTACAGAGGTTTTCATCTGTTCTTGGTTTGTATTTTCTTTTTTTTTTTAAAGATTTATTTATCTATTCATGAGAGACACAGACTGAGAGAGAGAGGGGCAGAGACATAGGCAGAGGGAGAAGCAGGCTCCCCGCAGGGAGCCCGATGTGGGACTCGATATCGATCTCGGATCCTGGGATCACAACCTAAGCCAAAGGCAGATGCTCAACCGCTGAGCCACCCAGGCGTCCCTGTATTTTCTTTTTAAAGTTTTATTTATTAAGTAATCTCTACATCCCATGTGGGGCTTGAACTCACAATCCCGAGATCAAGAGTTGTATGCTCCTCTGACTGAGTCAGCCAGGCATCCTGGTTTGTGTTTTTATTGAATGTTAAATTTTATCAGGGTTTTTTTTTTTTTTTTTTGCATTTGTTGAAATTATCATTGTCTTCTCTTTAATATGTTAAGAGTAGGACAGACAACTTTCTGAGTTGTAGATAACTGAGAAAAACATATATTGGTTATGATTTACTTAATGCATTTTTTAAAAAAGATTTTATTCATTCATGAGAGACACACACACACAGAGAGAGAGAGAGAGAGAGAGGGAGGCAGAGACACAGGCAGAGGGAGAAGCAGGCTCCATGCAGGGAGCCTGACATGGGACTCGATCCTGGGTCTCCAGGTTCACGCCCCGGACTGAAGGTGGCGCTAAACTGCTGAGCCACCCGGGCTGCCCTGATAATGCACTTTTTAACAAAAAATGAATCTTTAGAAAAACTCATTTTGATCTTGAATTTTTATGTATTAACAACATTATAAATAAGCTAATACAGGACTAAAATGCTCTAATAACCAGGTCTGGGGACACCTGAGTGGTTCAGTGTGGTTGAGTGATTGCCTTTGGCTCAAGTTGTGATCCCATGGTCCTGGGATCGAGTCTGCATCAGGGGAGCTTGCTTCTCCCTCTGCCTATGTTTCTGCCTCTCTCTCTCTCTCTCTCTCTCTCTGTCTTTCATGAATAAATAAATAAAATCTTAAAAAAAATCAGGTCTGGGCTAAATATTCTTGTAATTAAGCCTCACTATAATGAAATAGTGCTCAGTTAAAATTTTTTTTGGTAACTTCTGGGACTCTACAAAGACTTTTTCAGTGCCTAACCATTTGAACTTCTTCCTGGCTTCTTTTTGTAGACTTTTTACTCCCTCCTTTTAACTTCTCTCTCTGCCTGTTGTCTCTTCTTGCCAGAGAGAGACTTTCTTCCACAAGTAATAATATTATTTATTATGAGGCTATAGTATATCAAGTGCTTTTTCATAGATAAGGGCTATTTTTTAATCTTTATAATTTTGGAAGCTAGGTATGGTATCTCCAGTATATGGATGGAGCTCAGAAAGGTTAAAACTTCTTCAGGGCCACACAACTAATCAGGGATCCGTATAATATTTGAACCCCGGGGCAAACTTCAAAGCCCTTGTCCTTTCTACATGCTGTCTTTAAACAAGACTATTGTTCTAGTTCAACTTGAGTTTTGTGTTTTGGTTTACTCACGTGATTCCTGAGTGGTCCCGACAGAACCACTCTGTGTCTCCAATATGATTTCACTTTTTTTTTTTAAGGTTTTATTTATTTATTCATGAGAGACACTCAGAGAGAGGCAGAGACATAGGCAGAGGGAGAAGCAGGCTCCATGCAGGGAGCCTGATGTGGGACTCAATCCCAGGACTCTGGGATCATGACCTGGGCCAAAGGCAGACGCTCCACCACGGAGCCACCCAGGTGCCCCTCCAATATGATTTCTTTAAGAGACTTTTTCCTTAGGTACTTTATTGCTTTTTCCCCAGTCTGATGTTTTACATCTTCTTGAGAAATTTCTTAAAATTATGCAGTCTTTCTTGAATATGGAATGAATAGTGTCATGGTTATGCCTGTGGGCTCTGGAGTAAAGTATTTTGGTTGGACCTTGAGTTTATTTTCTTTTAATTTTGTGAACATTGTGAAACATTGACTTTCTGAAAGATAGGGAGAATAAAACTAGTGAGTACCTGTA